ATCACATCCATTGAGCCATTCACCCATTTGCAGGGGTTGATATGGAAGATTTAAAAACAAAAACTCAACATGTGTGGACTAATGGCAACTAAACTTGGCTGCTTGTCAGGATTCCAAGAAGAGCTCACTGCAGCTTGCTCAGCGCCATCTGAGTTACTCTGAGACATAGCAGTTAGGAGATGGAGCCTAGAAAATGGGATTTTAAGTAAAACTTGTTTAATGTAGGTATTTGTAGTCTGCAGCTCTAGAGAGTTTCACTAGAGGAGGAACTCTCAGCTTGGCATCATGTGGAATCTTCACACTAGATGGGTTATTTACTCCTATAGGTATCCTGTATTTTTTAAATTTTAAGGACTTCCCTGTCACTTTCCTATACCAATGTATGGTGTTATAATTTGTATGCATCTTAAATTGACAAGTTTGTCCTGTGGCGAAGGCATCTAGCTAATGTTTAGCACTTAAGAAGTTTCAAGCTGCTGTTAGCAACTGCATAGACAAGTGGATATAGTGAATTTGGGTAAATGTAGCCGCTGTTCCTTTAGAAAAAATTATTTTAAGCACTAAAATCTTCCTAATTAATGAAGTTGACCTAGGATGGTTCAAGTTAGTTCTTGTATGTTTGAAAAACAATCACACAAGACAGTATATTTACACTGACTTTAGGTACCAGCAATTATTTTATAGTTTATTTACATGTATTTGTGAGAACTTGAGATGACTCATCAGGTCAAAGCATGTTGTTGTACAAGCACAATAAGCTTGTTCCTGGGAACCCATGGTAGGAAGAGCCAAGTCCTGTAAGTTTTCCATTGGCCAGCACACATGATGTATAGCATATACCTGCACTCACACATCAAAAAGACATACACATCACACACACACACATACACACACACATACACACACACATACATCTCTCTCTCACATACACACATGTGCAAATACACAACATACACACAAATGCACACATTTCACACACAAACACCAACATGCACACAAACACAAATGCAAACATAAAGACACACATCATACAAACACATACACATAACACATACCCAGACACACACACCACACACACAAATACACACACAAACACATACATCCACAAAGAAATGTTCAAAAACAGTATTAGTATTTAAAGAACACTTAGGATATATGTGGTGAATAAATTTACACAGGACTGAATTTTTTGTTCAATTTGTTATTCTTTATTTGTATGACATAACCTCATGTTCTGAAAAGTTCTGACCTCATAGAACTAGTCTGTTCTGGTAGCCATATAGAAATATTTGCAAAGTGTGATACTTGGAATACTTTAGCTACTATGAGAAGAGGATGCATAAAATATTTTTGCATTTATTAGTGGTTTAGAAGAATCATTTTGAATCTTCATCAACATAAAAGGCTGTGCCTGTTGGAGACACTCAAATTATAAAGACCCTTGAGGGTTAAATAATAAAGAACTTTAAAATTTTGATGTAATGATATAAGACTTTGTTTTGGTTTTTTTGACACATTCTTTTTATGTATCCCTGGCTGTCCTGGAACTTGCTGTGTAGACCAGGCTGGCTTTGAACTCACAGGCATCCTCCTGCCTCTGATTCCCAAGTACTGGGAATGAAGGCTTACACCAGCATGCCTGACCTTGGTTTTTAGGTTCTTTGAAACAGTTTCAATATGTATCCTTGGTGGGCCTGGAGTTGCTGAGTAGAGCAGGTTGGCTACAAGCTCAGAGATCTGCTTGTCTCTACTCTGGAGCCCTGGGAATAAAGTATGTGCCACCACATATGGCTAAGATCTTTCTTATATGACCACTAAATGCCAGTGTTGGTTTTGCTTTGCAGAAGTAGAATAACATATGTGGCCAAAAAATTTCAGGCCAGACTTAACTTGTTTTGCAAAGTGGTCTTTAGTAGTCCAGCGTGGCCTTGAATTCTAAATTCACCTGAGGATGGCCTTGTCTTGATGCTCTTACCCCCACACAAGCCACTGTCCAGCCTATGATTAAACAAGTAAAATGTGAAAATGTTGCTCCTTTGTTCATCCTGCAGGGTTTGATTCAGAGTGGAGGAATAATCTTGTTTGTCATGCAGACCTGTGTGATTTCTGTTTACTTTTTGCCCGTTTTAGCCCAAGTCTATACAAATTAGTTCTAAATCATGATTATCACTCAGCTTTCCTTCTGAAAAATTTATTTGCTTTTACAATTATGATTTTTTTGCATATCTTAGATTCTCCATTATTCTAGATAATTTTCATGTTTTGTGTGAATCCCAGGCAGGCATCATGCCAGGCAGGAGTTCTACCACTGAGCTGCTTCCTTCCTTAGAAATAGTTGTCTGAGGTTTGAAAATATTTTTTCTTTGGTGTGATTTCAGTAAATAGATCAATCCTATTGCTTAACTTTTTTTATATTAATTTTTACTTCTTCTGTGGCTTTTCTTGCAGTAGGGTAATTATGCTGTTAGATGACTTCATTTCTTCATTTTTAAGGCTTTTTTGTTTTATGTATCCTATCTTTGAATAAAGACTTAGGCTTTTCTTGTGGAAAGTATTGAGACTGAGTGTAAGGAAGCGTCTTTCTTTTTTGTCACAAAGCCTAAAAAATATTTTAGCTTTACCCTGTTTTTAAAATTTTAATTATTGAATTAATTGATATATTTGAGCTAATTTGCTGGGTAGCTTTTCTGGAATTCATCTATGTAAACCAGACTAGTCTCACATTTGGGATAATCCTGCTGCATTCCAAGAGCTGGGATTACAGGTGTGTGCCCAGTAAAATATAATTTTTCTTGCAGTTATTTTCTCCCCTAATATATGTCTAAATTAATGATTGTGTATTGCAGCAAATGTGAAATTTGCTAACAAATGTAGCTCATTGGGATGGACATTTCCCCTTCTTCAGTTGAAAGTTAGGATTTTTGATTGCAGATTACTTAAATGCAAGATACATTTTCAGTCCTATGGAAGTATGGAGACATGTGTGTTTATGTTAAAGGAAGCTATTACTACTTTTCTGTAACAGTAACAATATACTTGGAAGGTCCAGTCAAATATAAATAAGGAATAAAGTTTCCTGCAGTCCCAGTCTGTGTTCTTTTATGCCCCTGAGAACAGGTTGTGTTCCTTGTAGGGAAAGCTGTTTTCTGGGTTTAAGAGTCAGGTTATTTTATCACTTTCAAATGAGACTAGTCTACCATCCTGTTTGCTAACAGACATATCCAAGGATCAGTTGTTAACTGCAATCTGCTCCAAACAACCAGGAGCTCTGGACTTGCTAAAGGCTGATGTATACTAGCCTAACCAATGTGTTTGTTCCATATTAATACAGCTGGGTCATATAACCACATGCTTCTGACAGATGCCCCATTGCCTAAATTCCCTCCTTTGACTAGCCTTTCAGTCTTGTTGGGTCCTGACCATCTATGCCCCATTTCAACTTAAAGTGTCTATAGGCGTGAGTACATTGTCCCTTCCCCCAAAACAGGCTAAAAGGGGTAAGTCAAAGAGAAACTCCCTGGTATAGGGGACAAAATGTCTACCTTATTTGCCCATTGACATACTAGGAAACTGGACCTGCAGCTGTCAATTCATAGATTGTTAACTAAAATGGTTCTGCAATAAGATAAGACACTTGACTTTCTTTATGTAGAACCAAAGACGTATTATATGGCCTTAAGAAATTATTATTTCTACACAAATCATTCAGGATTATGATCTGGCTATACTCAAAGATCAGAACTACAGGACCTTAAAAATGACAGTAGGTGCAGATGTCACTGCCCTAGAACAATCTGTTATACATTTAGAGGAATTGTTATCCTCTCTCTAGCTTAAATAGTTTTCTAGGATAGAAGGGGCCTTGACCTAAGATTTGTTCAATTGGTTACTCTGGTTATCATTTCTTCAACAAGGGGCCTATGCAAGGTCTTAGGTGAACACTTCTGTTTTTATGTACTGCTCAGGGGTCATGAGAAACTCCATGACAGAGAAAAACAGTGGCAACAAGGAAACCACCCTGGTACCTGCCTTACCAGCCCTTTAATAATCTTGCTTCTTTTGAACCTTTTTATAGGGGTAGCCTAGGACCACCTGCATCTCAGATGTTTGCATTAAGATTCACAATAATGACAAAACTGCAACTATGAAATAACAGCAAGCCTCAAATATTTTGGGTTGGTATGAACTTTTTGTATAATGGTAGAAATGTAAACTATATTTGATTCAACTCTGGTTTATAATATACTCTATATGATAATAGAATTTAAATATTATAAAGATCTATTCAGATTAACAAAAGCTAACTCAGAGATTTACACCTATGTCTTTGCCAAGTATTCAACACCAAGCTTCTGGAGAATTTAAATAAATGATGGCCTAGGTTTGCTTAATAACATATTTGATAAGTAAGATACATATTTTATAATGGAATTTCTGGTTCCCTGAGATGAGAGGGTTCCTTTCCCAGTGTTGGGCCAGACCCCAACTCACAAACCCCTTTTCTTGGTCTTATGAAAGCTGCTAACATATTGAAGATTGTTAGGAAACATAAGCTGATAGTCTTTCATATCTAATAGACAGTCCTTAAATGCTCAGAGATCTGCAGAATATGGCATTTAAAATGTTTAATTAAAAAGCTTTTTATGATAGAGAGACATGCTGGCTCCTGGCAGCACCTTTATTTCTTCCAAAGAAGATGGATGGGCACAGAAGAACCTCCACCCAGAACTTGCTCCAGAGTGGAAGCAACAGCCACTGAAAAAAAACCTGCCTATTAACTGGGTGGTAGTGGCACACGCCTTTAATCCCAGCACTCAGGAGGCAAAGTCGGGTGGATCTCTGTGAGTTCAAGGCCTACCTGGTCTACAAAGTGAGTTCAAGGACAGTCTCCAAAGCTACACAGAAAAACCCTGTCATGAAAAACAAAACAAAAAACAAAAACAAGACAAAAAAAACTGCCCATTACCTCAACTACTGCCTTTCACCTCGACTGCTACCAGGGCCTCTTCAGACCATGGACAACAGGACTCTGGGGAATCCATTGCTTCACTTTTGCCTAGACAAGGTAGGTTGGTCTGCCCCACAAGCTCCTACACCATGACTGGCAGATCTTCTGAGGCCTGGCAGGCCTAGGTCTGGCAGCTGAAAACTGATGTTGCTGCCCTGAGACCTCTGCCCTCAATGACCATGGAGGACCCTGGGGTTCTGTCTCCATAGTCAGCAGTTAGTCTCCATCACAGTCAGTCACTAACTCGGGTAAAATGCATCCTTCTCAGATCTCTGGTGTCACTGGACAGTTCAACAGCAGCAACCAGGACTCCAGCTGCCTTCTCAGCCCTCTGTGTAAAATCCATGGGCCTCACTCTCTTAGAGCTGGGACTAAGTCTAGACACAGTGCACCTTGCTACCAGACTCAAAAAAGGGATAAACTCACTTTGTAATGAGTATCTTTAGTATCTCCTGGTGAATTAAATTTAAAAAGGTGCTATGAGATATCTACCGTGGAGAGCTGCATACAGGGGATGGAAGTGGGAAAGGAGAGACAGGTATGGAAATTTTCAGGGATAGGTTCTCGGTGCCCTTTCAGAAAGAAGCCCCACCTGTTTGAGACAGAGCTACAGGGTTTGTTGTTTTGCCCTGCTAAGTTTTAGTCTTGCCTTGGTCCAGTCTTCCTTCACTGTGTCCACATTCCTTTCTTCTTTTTTCAAAATTTAATCTTCTCTCATTCAATACATTGTGACTGCAGTTTCCTCTTCTTACACTCCTCCCAGTTCTCTCACTGTTCCCCTCATCACCAGATCCATTCCTTCTCTATTTCCCTTCAGACTAGAGCAGATATCCCAGGGATATGAACAAAACCCTGCATAACAAATTACAATAAGACTAGGCACCAACCCTCATATCAAGGCTGGACAAAGCTACCTAGTAGGAGAAAAAGGGTTCCCAAGAGCAGGCAAAAGAGTCAGAGACACCCCCATCCTACTGTTAGAAGACCCACAAAAACACCAAGCTACAACAACACAACCTATATGCAGAGAGTCTGGTGCAGACCCCTGCAGGCTCTGTGATTGCTGTTTTAGTCTCTATGAGCTCCTATGAGCCCTTCTTAGTTGATTCTGTGGACTGTGTTGTCCTGTGTCTTTCTTTAAGTTAAATTTTATTTAAATTAACTTTAAATTTTCAAATATCTTTTTTTTTTCAAATATCTTCTGGGCCTTTGAGCTGAGCTTCTTCTCCTTCTATTCCTATTATTCTTAGGTTTGTTCTTTTCACAGTGTCCCAGATTGCCTGGATGTTTAAGTTTCAGAAAATTTTTAGATTTAACATTTTCTTTGGTTAATATATCCATTTCTTTTATCATATCTTCAAAGCCTAAAATTTTCTGCTCCATGTCTGGTATTCTTTTGGTGAAGCTTACCTCTGTAGGTCTTGCTTGATTATGTAGATTTTCTTTTCCATAATTCCTTCTGTTTGCATTTTTTAAATTGTTTATCTTTACATTTTCTGGTCTTGAACAGATTTATTCATTTCTTTCACGTGTTTTTTTTTGGGGGGGGGCTTTCTTTAAGGGATTTATTCATTTTCTCCAATATTTCATTTTTCCTTTCCCTGATTTCTTTAAGTGATTCATTCACTTCCTTTTTAAGGACTTCTCTTATCTTTATAAAGTTGGTCAGAAGGTCTCTTAATTGTGATTCAACTGTGTTGCAAAATTCTGGACTTGCTGTAGTAGGATAGCTGGAATCTGATAGTGACACTGGTGTGGCTGTTGTTGATTGTGTTCTTATTCTGGTGTCCACATATCTTGTTTTGAAGTGATTGTGGGTCTAGGTGCCAATTTCTCAGTTTGTCTTTCTTGGATGAGTGTTTTGTTCCCTGATTTCTATTTGCTCTCTGGTCTTCTGCTCTGTGTGGCTCTCTGGTCTTCTGCTCTGTGTGGCCTGTGGTTGAATATGGCTTCTCACTGCAAGTTGAGGGCTGGAAATCTTGCAGTAGGTGTGGCTTTTCCCAGCAGGGAATATCTGCCCAAGTTTGGGGCTGAAAAAAGGGAAGTGGGGAGAGAGCTTGGGGATAGTGTTGAAGACGCACTGAGAGAGTGGAGGAGATCTGTGGGCAGGTAGCCTACATGGACTTCTGGCAGATGGGTACCCTTTGTTTGAGCAAGAGATCTCTACCCAAGTTGGAGGCTGCAACACAGAGATGAGGAGGGAAGTAGGATTAGGGATCATGTTGGGGGATTACTGAAAGAATGGAGGAGTTAGACAGGTGAGCAGCATACATGGATTTCTGATGGCTGGCATGACCTCTGGTCCAGCTGGGAGTCTTTGCCTTGGTTTGCTTACCTATTCTGGCTGGTATGGCCTGAACTTGAGCAGATGATAGCCATCTGACTAGGGGGAGAAGATAAGGCTTTGGAGGTGACAGCTGTAGGGTTCATGGGGATTGTGTCTGTGGGAATGTAGGAAGAGTGAAAATTTCATGGACCGGTGGCCTGCCTAACTATTCATGGGCTGGTGTGACATGCACCTGAGCAGGGGATGTCTGCCTGAGTTTTGAGCTGAAACACAGCCATATTTCTCTTTTTCTGAATGGGAATATATCCTGTGCCGTTGTATGGTGGAAATCCTTAATTTGTTTCTTGATTTTACAAGATGTGACAGTTAAGAGATTGTCTTGATTGTCAGAAGAGACTTTGGGCATTTGCACTGTTTGGACTATTACAGATTATGAGGATTATTGAAGTTAGACTAACTACATTTTCATTTTTTTCTTTTTTCCTTATATTTATTCTTCTCTCATAAAATACATCCTGATTGCCACTTCCCCTTCCTCTACTCCTTCTAGCCCCCTCTAATCCACATTTCCCCAGATCCACTGGTACTCTCTTTCCCTTCAGAAAAGAGAAGGCATTCCAGGGATAGCAAGCACATCATAACAAGGTGCAATAAGACTAGGCACAAGCTCTCATATCAAGGCTGGACAAGGTAGCCCAATAGGAAGAAAAGGTTCTCAAGAGCAGGCAAAAGTCAGAGACACCTCAACTCCTATAGTTAGAAGTCTCACAAATACCCCAAGCTAAACAACCATAGCATGTATGCAGAGCCTGGCACAAAGCCATGCAGGCTCCATGATTTCCACTTCAGTTTCTCTGAGCCTCTATGAGACCTGCTTAGTTGATTCTGTGGGCCATGTTCTCCTGGTTTGCTCAACCCTTCTGGCTTCTACAATCCTCACCCCATCCTTCCACAGGATTCCTGGAGCTCAAGCTAATGTTTGTATAGGGATCTCTGCATGTGCTCCCGTCAACTGCTGGAAGAAGCCTCTCTGATGGCAATTGGGCTAGGTACCAATATATGACTATATCAGAGTATTAGTTATGAATCATTTTATTAATTTTTTTTCTTAGTGAGTAGTATTTGGTTCTACCTTGGTTCTCTAATCCATCCAAGTTCCAGTTCCTAGCCATCCAGGCAGTGTCAGGCATAGGCTTCTTCTCACAACTTGGGCTTCAAGTTAGATCTGTAGATGTATCCAATCGTCTTATTAAAATAAGAAACACAGAGCCAATGTAAAAGAGAAAGCCGAGAGGTCAGAGCTCAGAGATAGAATCTTACCTCCTGCAGTGCTCCTAGCTTCCCTGAGAGAGAGCTTCTTCCTGTTTGTCTGTCTTTAAATAGTCTTTCTGTTCTGCCTTCTCATTGGTTGTAAACCCAACCACATGACT